GCTCTGGAACCATACAACCAGGGGCAAATGTTGGCTGTTCCACTTACTCTAGCAGTAAGACCATGGGCAGATCAGTTTACCTGTCTGCATATGAGTTGCTTCTCTGTAAAATGGAGATAATGCTTACCTCATAGAATTTGAGAGTAAACAATTTAAATTTCTTTTCTTTTTTTTTTTTTTAAAGATTTTATTTATTTATTTGAGAGAGAGAGCGCATGTAAGCAGGGGTAGGGGATGGGGAGGAGAGGGACAAGCAGACTCCGTGCTGAGTGCAGAGCCTGAAGTGGGGCTCGATCTCACTACCCTGAGATCATGACCTGAACTGAAATCAAGAGTCAGATACTTAACCAACTGAGCCACCTCAGCACCCTGAGAGTAAACAATTTAATAAACACAAAGGGCTTAGAATAGTGTCTGGCATATAGTATGTACTTATCGCCACCACCACCACCATCATTTTTAATGTATTCCTATCATCTTTCAACTATATTTTAAAAATTCTGACCTCATCAGAGAGTTTCCTGGTGAGCCACAGTTTGTCCTTTGGTTAGGGCACATTCAATCCAATTTTTCATATCTTGTATCTCTGTGTATCTAGTGTCAAACAGTGAGACTTGGTATAAACAACAAGAATGTGAGACTCTCAAAGACCATGAATCAACAAAGAATGATTAAATACATTTAGTGTGTTCATGGTGGTAGCAAAGTGAATGGACACATTTTTATAAAGACCCTCACTTGAGTCTGGTTTGAAATAAAAAAGGACTTTCTTCTTAGAATCCAAGAGATTCCAAGTAACCTGTGCACCCATTTCCAAGCCTTCTAGCCTAGTTTGAACGATAAAGGAAAACATCCCAGATGATGCCAAACAAATCCATAATAAATCATGGGAATCATAAAATATTGTTTCATAGCAGTATGGAAAGGCAAATTTGCAATCACCAAGGGAACCTTGAGCCTATCAGATCTTTGGGCCATATTAGGATCATTGGAATCTTTGATAGAATTTGGTTGCTATACAGAAGGATTCTTCATCCCCCTGCCTTTATGTTTTCATAATGGATTTCCTTTGGCATAACAGTCATTACATTCTTGGCCTTCTCTGACTGGAGAAGAACTAAACATACTTAAATCTTGGAGCTCTCCTTTCTACAGGATACTGATATGTGTTGGAAACTTACAGAGCAGGGTGGGGAAGGTCCTACAGTAGTGTAGGGATGACTGTGATTTGTGGATAAATCTGCCTAATTGAGAAACAGTGTTAGCAAGTCTTTTTGTGCCCAGACCTCAAGCCAAATTCTCTAATTAGTTTTATCAGTAATAATAAAACTGATGTTTTGATTTCTATTCATCTCCTGTGTCTTGTTTCTCAATAGATTTTTAACTTCAGAAGGGGTGAGAGGGACATTATTTATTGATTCTCTCATACGTCAAACAAGGAAAACAAGAAGAGTGAAGATAAGCAATATTCATTAGCTCCTCTCTTTACATGTAACCAAGATGTGAACCAAGACAGTCTTTAGGCAAACTGTACAAAAATGACCTGATTGACTTCCTCCTGGGAAAATCTGCCCTTATTTCTATCTTTCTTCACGGTCAAACAAATAAACAAATCTAGAAACCTATGATGAAGAAAATCAGCTATTGGCAGCAGAGAGGCAGAGGGAAAAGCTAGGTTGAATTGATTGGAAGATGACTCTCACGATTAGGGTGGGCCTCCTATTATTTAGAAAGGAAGTAGCAGAGTGTTACTGTCCTGGGACAAATGGAAAGTTTGAGCAAGACCAAGAGCACAGGTAATGTAGATGCACAGAAACTTAGATTAGAATTTTCTTAAAATAGTTGTCTTGTACGACAATCCATGCAGTGCCTAGCTACATTTTTAGTCCCCCCCCCACCTCCCTTAACAAATACATACCAAATTTTATTCTTGCTGAGCTAGAGAGAGCTAAGGAGTCAGCTAGAGGTAGAAAGAAAGTAAAATGTGGCCTGGATGTACAGGAGATGGGATATGGATGTTGAGAACTGAAAAAGTTGGACCAGGTTTAAAAACTAATGAGTATGGGGCACCTGGGTGGCTCAGTTGGTTGGGCATCTGTCTTCGGCTGAGGTCATGATCCCTGGACCCTGGGATTGAGCCCCACATTGGGCTCCCTGCCAAGCAGGGAGCCTGCTTCTCCCTCTCCCCCCTGCTCATGCTCTCTCTCTCTCTCTCTCAAAAAAACAAAACAAAACAAAACAAAAAACCCAAAACAAAAAACTAATGAGCATGATTGAAACAGATTGACCAGAAAAGAAGACCCTGGATGTGCTAGGCAAAACCTTCCAGGAGTAGAAAGAAATGAGCAGAGGAGAAATTAGAGTTCCCAAGGTGAAGAACCAAGGAGAACTCTGATGAACCACAAAGTTAATGCCAGGAAAGCTTTTAGATAGTGAAGATTCTTTGGAATTCAGATGGAAGATTGGTTTTCCTAGGGGCCAAATACCAGAGTAGAATCTAAATCCAAAATTCATGAAATACTTATTGATCAATTGCTATATGCTTATCATAGTACTGGGTACTGGTGAATGAATGGTGAGCCAATATGACCTACTCTTGCTCACATAGGGTTTACCACCGAGGGGGAGCGAGAGCCAATTAAAAAGAAAAAGTTGCAAGTGCTACGTGGTGCAGGATGCCATGGCAACACAGAGGCCGTACTTGACCTAGGAGCTGGGAGATAGGTCAGGGAAATCTTTATGGAGAAAGTTCCATCTAAGCTGAGACCTGAAGGACAAATCAGAGTTAGGCAATCAAGGAAGAACATTGCAAACAAAATGAATAGGATGTGACAGGGCCTGGGGGGATGGGCAAGAAAAAATTAGGCATTCAGAAACCGCAAATGGGTTAACACCACACCCCAGGTACTTTTTTTGTACGTAATCACTTTGCCTGAAGTTTGAGTCTGAAGGAAAAATGAAAATGGGCCTTCGCAAGGTCATCAGGAGAGAATGTCCCTTGGTGTCTGTTCCTTGGGGTGTAAGGGATGGAGCAATAAAAAATGACATTAAGGGGGGGCTCCAGGTGAGTGGAATGGGTATCGTGAGATGTTCTGTATGCTGAGGCAATAGGCAGAGGGACAGCATGCTACTAAGTCCAGAAGAAAAGAATAATACTGCATAAGAAAGTGGACCTTGTGCATAGCTAGGGGAAAAAAAGACAATTTAGTTTTATATGTTACATTTTAATAATAGTCATTTGTAACTGCATAATGAAATTTGTGAACAAAAGTTCATTTCCAGAAGAGTAATCTCTAACTAATATGCAATGCCTCAGTAGGATTTGGCCAGGTTTTAATTTTAGCTTGAATAAATAATGTAAGATACTAGGCTGGGAGAGATAAAAGGAAATCTCTATACTTTCATCTCTCCATGATGGAAATAATAACTACTTTATTTCAAAACAAGTTTCCAATTAGTTTCTGTGAAATATTATTATCCTCTTTTTCCAGATACTGTAGCTCATTTTGAAACTTAATTTTGATAATATATAAACATTTTTAAAACTTACTCTACAGGAATGACAGTTATATTTGGAGAGAGGAATGCTGTTGGGCTATAACTATATTATTTGGGACTGTTCTAAATAATAGTAAAAATAATGAAAAAGAATTAGTCAAAATGTAATCTCTTTCATGGCTATTCATGACCTGGCATGGACTTATCTTTAGGCCATTTCCTTTAAAATTGTTCAGTGGACTTTTTTTTTCTTCAAGACTAGTAATGCTTCACTTAAGGTTATAAACTCTCTTATCCCCATTTAAAGAGCTTGTATTATTTATTTAATTATTTATTTAATTAATTTTTTTTAAAGATTTTGTTTATTCATTTGACAGAGAGAGACACAGCGAGAGAGGGAACACAAGCAGGGGGAGTGGGAGAGGGAGAAGCAGGCTTCCTGTGCAGCAGGCAACCCGATGCGGGGCTCGATCCCAGGCTGGGGCTTGTGTAGTGAATCATGTAGCTATGACATTTGCTTTTGAGGTGCTTAGTTTAGGGGTAGCTGAGAAAGTCTGAGGAATCCTTGGGGGAGAGATCTTACAGAAATGAAGACCCACATTTTAATTTGTATCTTAAGTCAGGACTTGGCCATTATCTATAAATCATTCCAGATGGATAAACTGAGGCACGGATTATTCAGGCTCAACCCATTAGTCATAAAGTGGTGATTTCAGTTGAAAAGTTGGTCCCCTGATGAGTTCTTCACTCCCCAGGCCAAGCTCACTTTCCTACAATTGCAGTGTTCTCTTCACTCTGTTTTTCTTCCCTCGAAGCAGAAAGACAGACTGGTGATGCTGTTTTTCAGATGAAGAAAACAAGGCAGGGGAGTTTACCCAAGGCCACTTATCACTTTTATGGAGGAGCCAGCATCACAATTCCTACCCTTTGAGTTTCCAGGCCGTTGCCTAGCTACCAAACCTCCCTGCCTCTTCCACTGCACAGCAGCCGGGCAGGCACTTAATAATCATAATTGATGGTGCTGGCTAAAAGGGAGAGCTCGGAGTGATTCTGGGGAGTTTGTTTTCACATACCAATGAATTTTGTTCTTCTTGTGGTCAATAACCTATACCTGTTTGTTTTAGATAGCATCCCTGTCCTGGTCCACAAAGAAGCTTTCTTATCTACATTGATGATTTTACTTTCCTCTCTTTCTCAACTGTTCTTTCTGGGGGAATCCAGTTGCTCTTTACAGGTATCACACACTTAAAAAAAAGTCTATCTTAAAAAAACAATGTCTGGCTTCCCACAGAAGAGTCTCACTATAGCAGTTTTAAGGGATAGAATGCAGTTTGGTGAAAGTTAAATAAATTCCATCAGAAAGTAACACTTCTTAAAGTGTTAGCTCCATTAATTATTTAACTGTGTTAAAAATATTTGAGCACTTATTTCTTCCAGATACTAGTGGGAATAAAAAGATAAATTTGTTTATCCTTTCAAGTATGTTTTATTGATTGCCTGACGTGCCAAAGACCATGCTAATGCTGGGGATTCTGTAGTTTTCCTTATGTTGCGAATAGTCCAGGTGGAGTCAGACAATCTGAAATGATCACACAGGTAGACAACTGCAACTTTCATATATGCCTCAAAGGAGAAGCACATGATGCTGAGAGTGCCCATTATGGTGGCTTTAACAGTCAGGGAAAGCTTATTAGGGAAAGTGATGCTTGAGTTGAGTTCTGATGAATAGTAGAGGGAACTAGACAAATAGGAAGGAAAGAGCATTTCAGGCAGAGGAAACAACATGTTCAAAGGCCCTGTGGTGGGTGGGAACATGTGCAGTCCAGGAGCCATAAGACTAGCATGATTGGAATGAAATAAGAGGTCAAGAGGAAGCTGGAAAGGCAGGTAGAGGCCAGACCGTACATGGTATCAGACCTGTACTATATTATCTCATGGCCTTAGTCTGATTTCAGCCAAGGCTATAATGGACAGTGCCATCAGCTCCCACCAAATTTGTGCTGACCTCATTCTAAGTGTGCTTGGGGCTTCTCTGGTCCCCAGGCCTGGGGCGCTTATAGGAGACCACTGGCAGTCACATGTGAGCAGCCTCAGAAGTGCCAGGGAGTTAGTATCCATAGGCAACTTCCAATTATTGGTAGATGAAAGTTGACTGGTGAATGCTTCTCCCCTTTGTCTCTGGCGGATAGTTCTGAAATGTATTCCCCACGGTCCCTCAGAAGTTCCTATTGGATTAATACAGTTGCTCACAGTGATGGTCAACTTGCTCATTCATTTCCTCCCTCCCTGCTTCACTCACTTTCCCTAATCCAAGACTCCTATTCCTTGGGGTCACTTCCCAAATGAAACAGTACAAGCAAGCTTTTGTATTCTGCTGCTTGTGGGGAAGCCAGATATGAGATACCATGTTAAGGAGCTTGGAATTTTGTCTTTGTCTTAAAAGCAATGGAAAATGATTGTTTTAAATAGGGTGGTGAATTAGCACTTTTGCACTTCAAAGAGATCATTTTGACTGTAGTGTGGAAAATGGATTGGAGGAAGGCAAGGGTAGGTGAGGATAGAACAGTTCATGGGCTGTAGTAGGCTAGGCAAACATAGCTGGAGCAATAAAGATGGAGAGAAGTAGATTTGAAATATATTTAGGGTTCTAATTGACAGGACTTGGTGACAGATTGGCTATGGCAAGTGAAGGATAAGGAAATATTTGAAATGACTCCTAGGTGTCTGACTTTCTTAGCTGAATGGATGATGATGCTGTTCACTGAGTTGGGGGACTCTGGAAGTTCAGGTGTAGGGGAAGGAGTCTCAGTTAAGGTTCTTCATGAATATAAACTGGCGTAAACAAAAGGGGAATTAGTCGACTAACAGAAATGAGAAAAAAAAAAAAGGCTAAACTGGCTTTAGGCATGACTTGTTTAGGGGCCAAACAGTGTGATAAGGATCAGTCTCTCAGCTCTACTTCTCTTGGGTACCTTTGGCTGCTTAGGGAAGCAAAATGACCACATTCGCAGACCACTGGGTATAGGAAGAGGGCTTTTGTCTCCAGGAGCCCAGCTAAGGCATCATAGTGACTCATTTGCTCTCATTGGATTATATGCCCACAGGCCAAGAGATACCCTGCTTAGGGGGATGGGATATGTGCATTGGTTTAGGTTAATTGCTGCTTACCCCTGGTTGTGGATGGGGTCATTATCATGGAGACTAGATTGGCCAAGAGTGGGAGGGGTGAAGTCCTTGAAGTAAATCTGGATGTTGCTGCTGTAGGAAGGGGAAAATGGGTGCTGAGGTGACTAAAAGTTCTCATTCTCAGGGAGAAAGTTCCTGAGTTTTGTTCTGAACAAGTGTTTGAGGTTCCTGTAAGACCTTCAGAAGACAATGGATGGCATGGACCTGAGGGAATAGATAAAATTAACTAGGAGAGGAATACCTACTGAGAGAAGAAGAGTACCAAGGACCAAGTGTTGAAGGATTCCAACACTGAGTTGGAATTTTTCTAGGTAAAGGGGAATTGATCTGAAAGTAGGAGAGGGAATAAACAAAGAGGTAGGAAGAAATCTTGGAGGACTGACTCATTGAATAAACAATAAATGTGACACATAATAGCTGCCTCCTTGGAATTCACAGTCCAGTAACCAGACTTGAGTTCAAAACTGATGGTGATGTAGAGAGAACTTCGATTTCCACCAAGTTAACTGTCATATTAGAGGCACGGATCCCCGGCACATCCAGTGGGAACACAGAGAAGAGAATGGCTAATTATCCTTGGTGGGGAAAGGGATCATGTGAGAAGAGTCTTGAAAGATGAATAAGATTTTGCCATTTGGAGAAGAAAAAAAGCTCAGGTCCAAGTTCCAACTTACATAAAGAGTCAGGAAGGAATCAGAACTAAGGGATGGCAACCTAAACTATGAGAACTTCAGGAAATAAGCAAGGACCAAGTAAGGGTATGTTGGCTAAGGAAGAAAAGCTGGAGGTATCATATAGGTCATGTTTGTGGATGGCTGTTTATCTTAGGGCTTGACTGTATCACTCCATCACTTCAAAAACCAACTTGACTGGCCTTTATCCTAGATTGGCCACTTGGTTGACATATGTTGGTTTTTTTGTTTGGCATTAGAAGGACTCTAAATCTAAAAGGTTTTTATGGTGGGTATTGACTAGTTGCTTTCTGTTACTTCTAAAGTGAGGACAGGAATAAATGATTACATTTCTGCAAAGGCAATTTAAGTTAGACATGAGGAAGTGTTTTCTTATCAGTGACATTTATTTTACTTGTCTTCATCAGCCTTACAATTTATAGACTCAGTCAGACAATGATAATAACAGCCAAAGAAAGAAGGCTGTACAATAAACAAGCAAGCAAACAAACAAACAAAAAACGAGTAAGTAAAATTGTTAAGTTTATTGGGGATGGGAGTGTTAAGGAAATTACATCTGGAGAAATCACATAACATTTCCAACTAGCTAAGGACATGTTTCTGAAGGAATTATGATTTAGGGATCTGATTAGCTAGAAGAGTTTAGAGCACTCTTTCCAGGCATTCCAGGCAGGGGGTAGCTGTGATAGGCACATTAATGGCCCCTCAAAGATGTCCATGTCCTCATTCCTACAACCTGTGAATATATTTCATTACATGGCAAGGAAGAATTTAGTTTGCAGATGAAATTAAGGTTGTTAATCAGCTGACTTTAAGATACAGAGGTTTTCTGGATTATCCTGGTGGGTCTCATTTTAAAGCATAAGTGTTCTTTAAAATAGAGGAAGGCAGAAGAGGAAGTCAGAGAAAGATCTGAAGATGCTATGCTGCTGGTTTTGAAGATGGAGGTAGGGGCTATGAACCAAGGAATGCGGGCAGCCTCTAGAAGCTGGAAAAGGGAAGGAAGCAGATTCTCCCCTAGAGCCTCCAAAAAAGAAGTTTCCAGCTCTGTTGGCACCTTGATTGTAGCCTACAAAAAGTCATTTTGGATTTCTGACCTGTAGATCTGTAAGACAGTAAGTCTGTGGTTTTTTTTTTTTTTAATTTTTGGTTTTTAAAACTTTTTATTTGCATTTGAAAAAAATCGTGCATTCTAATAATTAAAATCATTTTAACAAAAAAGTGGCACTCTGATTAAACCTGCATTTTATAGCCTGCAGGGCACCTTGGGCCAGCTTTTTTTTTACTCTAGATTTCACTGTTGTCCCACCTCACTTCTTCCTTCACCAAAATGCAATTTCTTTTCCTTCCCTGCCAGCCAGACCAGCAGATGGGAGAGGCGGGAGCAGCCCTCTTTGTCAGTAGTTCTTTGATGTGAAAAGGGGCAGCGCAGTCATTTAAACTTGGTCCAACCTCTTTGCATCTTATAAAGTTAAACAGCTAAAAGAAGTAAAATAAGGCAATGCTTGTGGAATGTACAGTGCATAGTGGTGGTGCATGCCTCATTACAATTACCTGCTTGCTTCTCCTGTTCAATCATTTCTTTTGAAGGCAGTGGATTTTTGTCTTCCATTTCTGTCTTCTTCAGTTTTGATTTATTGAATTTCTCAATCTTAGCCATATTGGGTTTTTCAGACATGGATGCAGAGGAAGTGGAGCGAGGTGACTGAGCTAGCGAAGTCTGGTCTGTGCAGTGGCCGCCGAGTCTATTTGTGTTGTTTTAAGTCAGGTGGCTGAGATGGTCTAATGGATGAGAGACATAGAGTCAGTTTGCTTCTGGGATAAGGATTCAGACAGAAGCTAGTTGGAAATAGGGGAGGCCATGGACTCAAGATGTTATTATTATCTCTTGTTAATTTTTATTTATTCATTTATTTTATTTATTTATTTTTTAAAGATTTTATTTATTTATTTAATTGACAGAGAGAGAGAGAGAGAGAGCGTGAGGGGGAACACAAGTAGGGAGAGTGGGAGAGGGAGAAGCAGGCTTCCGGCTGAGCAGGGAGCCCGACGCAGGGCTCGATCCCAGGACCCCAGGATCATGACCTGAGCCGAAGGCAGTCACTTAACCAACTGAGCCACCCAGGCACCCCTCTTGTTAATTTTTAAAACCTTTTATTTTGGGATAATATTTTGGGACTTTTAGAAAAGTTGCAAAAATAGTGCAAAAAATTCTTACCCTTTACTTAAGTTACCTAAATGATAACATTGTAACATATTTGCTTTATCATTTTCTCTTTCTACATAAATATATATATAAAACATATACTACATAAATACAAGTATTCTCTAATATTTCACTCTCTATGTGTGTGTTTATATGTTATGTATACATATATAATTTTCTTTTTGAACTGTTTGAGAGTAAATTAAAGATATGGTGTCCCCCTTTTCCCCAAATACTTCATTGTGTGAGTCTTGAAAAAATAACCACCATACAGTGATCAAAATGAAGAAATTAAAAATGACACAACACTATTAGCCAATCTAAGAGCTTATTTAAATGTTGCCATTTGCCCCATTAATGTCCTTCACAGCAAAGAGAATATTTTTTTCAGATCCAGGATCTGACCCAGAATCAGATGTTGCATTTGGATCCCGTATCATTTGTCTCCTTTCATCTGGAGCAGTAATTCAGTCTGTCTCTGTATTTCATGATTTCCACATTTTTAAAGAGTATAGGCCAATCATTTTGTAGATTCTCCCTCGGTATGGGTTTATGTAATGCTCTTGTGTGATTAA